CCTGTGTATCACTGGCAGAAAGAGAAACTGAGGCACGGCTGTGGGTGGGAGACATCCGGTGGCAGGGACTGCGGTCGTGCCCACAAACCGCAGCTGCCCCGGCGGGAGCAGCCTGAGGACTGTGGTTTCCTCTCGGTGACAGTGGTGACAGTGCAGGCACTGAGCACTGTGGGCATCCTTGGGATGGGCTCCAAGCTTCCTCTCTCCTGAAGCCAGGGTGTGTTTGCTTTGGAGACCCTGAGTCTGGTGCGGGTCCACTTGGCCAGCAGTGAGGGTCTCCTGGGATCCCTGAGGTGTCCCCAGGGTGAAGCTGCCACCATATGACTTCAGGCAGGTGCTGAGGGGCCATAAACTTCCTGCTTTTGGACTTAAAGGCAGTGGGAATTTTACTTTTCCCTCTCCCTGTGTTGATGCTCAGATCAAAGTGTTCACTTTCAAACTTGATCCCATTTTTGGTCCATCAGAGCAAAAAATCACTGCTTGCATCTGCTGAGCACCCCAAGCTGGCAACAGTTCCTGCACATCCCTGCTTCCACAGTCAAGCACCCATGGGGTGACAGGCACCAACAGGTCTTCCTTTGGCTTCTCCTACCTTTGAGAAAATGAAATGCCAAAAAGTAGATGAAAAGAGGAGCATTACAGGGGCCCTGCAGCACTAGGGATGCCAAGAGCTGGACTGGCTGCCAGAGCATCCCTGTGCTGCTGCTGGTGGAGCACGGTGAGGGTCCCACCAGTCCCATGCTGTGATTCCCTGCCAGCTCCACTGGACACAGGGCTGGGTATTTCGGGATGGATGCTCCTTAGGATGCAGGTTGCCCCAGCAACAGTTGCTATGGAAAACACTTCAGTGGCAAAATTTCCAGCCATATTCATGTGTCCATCATTGTCTTCCAGAAAGTCCCTGGTGTATGGTGAGCCAGGTGCGGCTGGCTCCACACGGGCAGGCTGCGGCTGCAGGGGACTGGCTGTGCTGGGCCTGGCTATTCCTGGCTTTTTGCAGCTTTTCCTGCTGGATATGGTGTGAGAAGGTGTAGGAGGACTCCAAAGTGAGATTTAGGGGAGCTTGGCAGATGTACAATGGACAGGGGGAGCAGACTGAATCATTCCATATTAATTGGCTAGCAGCCAACTAGTGTCCCATTGGCCCAGCTGTGCCCCACCCATTGGATGAGGTTCATTTTGGTCAATCAAACACTGGGCACAGCTCTGGGACAGTGGGACATACCAGGAAAGGGGCTGGCACTAGGATGTTTGCCAGGACCAGCAGCTTTGGCTGGGGCTTCCTGCTCTGCCAGGTCTGTGCTTCAGAAAGCCACTCCCCACCTCCTGGAGCAGCAATAGGATTACACAGGACTGAGTCTCCTAGCAATGAATGAAGAAATAAATCCTATAAGGCAGGACAGGATTTATTAGACTTCAATATTCTGGAAATAATGAGGACATTTCTCTTGGCTTGTAATATCATGGGACCCAATAAGATCACAACCAGGATTTATCCCCATGCTTCTCTGTGGCACTGGGTTGGTTCTTAGCTGTGGAGAAAAGATGCTGGGGGAGGCTGTTTGCCTTTCTGAAGAGCAGGATGGCAGGGCACCCCCTCATCTCCAGAAAAGCCAAGGTGGGCTGCAGGCCCCAGGCTGCCCCAACAGCAGCGGCTCTGTTTGTCTCCCCATTCATCCCCTAGTAAGGGCTGGCTCTGATCCTCACCCTGGCTGGGGCTCACTGCTGGGAGCAGAAAGGGCTGACAGCAGGAAGGGCTGGCTGTGCCATCACCATCAGCTGAGTTTCAAATGTCAGTGCCAGCACCCACCCCAGCACAAGGATGTCCCGGGGTGGAGACCCTCAAATGGGGTGGGAGACCCACAGGCCACTCCCCAATAGTTCTGAGCACACTGCAAACAGAATACCACTGTGCTGCTGGGTGGGACATTGCTCTGAAGGAGAGCTGGAAGGAGGCTGAAAACATCTTGGGAAAGAGGATATGATGTTGCCAACATCACCTTCCAGGCACCAGCTCTGCCCCTCAGGGAACTGCTTCCCTGACTGCAGGGAGATGCTCCTAAGGTCAGCTCCACACTCTGGTCCCTCCTCCCAGCAGCCAGGCTTTTCCCCATGGCAGCTCTGTCCATGAATCCCATTGTGGTCCTTGGGACAGCCTGAGACTATGGGATGCACCCCCAGGCAGCCAGTGTTCAACCTCCTCCCATGTTGAGAGCCAACATTTATTCTTGCATCCCTTTCACTGAAGAAGCTTTAAATGCACAGTGTTACCCCCTGTCATGATTCCTGTGGCCTTGTAACAGCCCCCACAAACCCCAGCAGATCAGTAAAGCTGAGCCTGTGGATGTGGGTTGCACACAGCTGGTTTTACCATGGCCCCAGCACACGGATGCTGTGGCAGAAGCCCCAACCATCAGGACACACGGACACAATTGGAGCCTTGTTTGGGGCTCAGCTGCACAAGAGGCCCCTTCAGGCAGCCAGGGAAGGGGGAGCTCCTCGGGGTGAGGTGATACTCTGGCCATGAGGAACTCCTTATAAGGCCAAAATTACTCCAAGCAAATGCCCAGGGTGAGTCCCAACCAATGGAGAACACATGAGCTTCCCAGAGAAGACAGCTGAAGGTGGGAATGTCTCAAAAGATGGACCCACATCTGAGAACATTGCTCCTTGCAGAAAGTATGGGGCTGCCAGGGATGTCAAGGGCTGGTGGGGACACTGAGGATTGGTGGGTCTTGGGGCCACTCCCCTTTGTGGGAAGGCAACTGGGCAATGGAAATAGCAAGCAGAGAGGGGTTTTGCTGTTTTGTTTTTTTCCTATAAAAGCAGCCAAGCTGTGTTTTCTGGAGACCTGTAAATCACTCCTCATCTTCAGGAAAGTGAGGCAAGGAATACATGATCCAACCCAGCAAAAACGCGGGATGCTTGGGAGTGTGGAGGAAGCCAGGAATCAGCCCAGGCTGGAGGCTGCCTCCCGGCCATCCTGCCAAGCCTGTCTCAGCTTGCTGGGCCAGGAGCTGGCACCACAGCCCAGCATCCCCAAGATGAGCTGGGCACACCATGCTGCCACGAGCTGGGGAGCCCAGCAGAGAGGGGAGTCGAGGCTCTCAGCCATTGCCATTACACTGCACTTTTCCAGCAGGTCAGGTTGCTTCCAAGATTTCAAGATTTTCCACATTTGCTCAGCTGAAGAGAAGAAAAAACTCTGGAGGGTTTCTGAAGAGCATAGCTGGGGCTGGCAGGCAGGATCTGTACATTGGAGGTTATCAATTTTCCCAGTTCACCAGCATACCAGGGGAGGTTACTGGCCACATCCCTCTAACACACTGTTAGCACACATGTGAATCTAAAGCTGCCTCCAAGCCACTCAAAGCTAGATGCAGCTGCAGGACTCACCATGGACACAGCCTGGAGCTCTTTAATGCTTTTAAAAACAAGGCTGGGTTTGGTGCCTCTGGCCTTTGGGATCTCCAAGGGTACTTGTTGCATCTCATTCTGCTCTTGCTCATGATACAATGCACAGAATTATTTTCCATTTCTTACCTACTTGGTACCTTACTTTCCATTTCTTACCTACTGCTGGAGCAGAAAGGGCCCTAGAATGCAGCAGAGATACGCTGCAGCAAAGGTTTTGGTCAGCAGCCCCCAGAAGGGGTCCCAGCCTGTGCAGGGGTAACATAACCCTTCCCTGCTGCTGTCCAGTGTCAGAGTCATGTGGGACACAGGGCAGAGATGTTCCCAAATATTCCTTCTTCTCCAGTCAGCAACAGCAGAGCAATAGGCAAATTGTTTCCCTGCCTGACTGCTCAGCCCTCACAGCAGGCCCAGCCCTCCCAGCCCTGCTTGTGGCTGCCTCAGCATCTCACCATCTTTGGGGATCTGCAGCAAAACAAGCCTAGGCTGCCTTAGGGTCCCTGTTGGGAGGGGCTCTGTAAGGAGGGCAGGACAGCACACAAGGAGAGAAGGCACTGGAGATGGTCCAGCACTACCATTCCGAGCAGGAGAGCAGCCCAACTACTGCAGCAGCAGCGTCCTTGCTCCACAGCCCCCACTGAGGTCCTGCCAGGGCCATTCACTGCCACTCAGGAGCCCCAAGCTGAGATATCCCCACAACAGTGCCTTGCACAAGGACTCTGGTTGTTTTTGCAACCTAAGCCAGAGCAGCAACTGGTTTGGAAGTGTTTGAAGATGAAAACATGTCATCACTCCGTTGTTTTGTTTCTGTCCAATTTCAGGCTTGTTTAAGCAGGTCCATTACAGCTGATCCTCTACAGAACAGGGCGCCAAAGGCTGCAGCTCCCCTGAGCACATGGTGTTTTGTTCTGGTCTATCCTGCAGGCCACAGAGCAGGGGCTGACTCAGCAGCAGACACATGAGCTCAGACTGTGCTCAGAGCCGCAAACAAGGGGCCATGGGCATCACTCACCCTGTGGGCAGGAAGGATGGAGCTTGAGCTGCTTTCCCCCAGCACAGCACCAGCACGGGCTGCCCCACCAAGCGGGCCCAGAGCATCCTGTGGGGAAACACTGTCGAGTTCCTCTACTCCCAAGGATGTGTGCAGGACACACATCAGGAGCTGCCCAACTCCACCAGAGCCAGGCCAGCAGGGGTGGCTGGGATGACGCTGCATTGCTGGTCTCCAGCTCCAGCTGCTCGTTCCACACCCAGACGCCTTGGCCTGGCCTCCCCAGCAGCTGCACTTGCTGAATGTACCCGTGTGGCCATGCTTTGGATGGGTGTCCTTTCTCCTGCAGCACTGCTACAGGACTACACTGACCCTGTCTCCCCCAGTTCTGGGTTTCATTGCACCACCAGGCCCAGTAAAGAGGAGGGAAAGAGATTCAAGCACTTGCTCTGACCCCCAGGTTGCTATCAGGGCACACACTGGGCACCTCTGAGAGAGGTTTTTATGACTCCCGTCAGACACTCCTTACTGTATGTGATACTTAATTTCTTTGTCCTCTGCTTGCCGCACAAACCACACTGCCAGCATGCAAGAGTGTTGGGATGGAATACTTTATTCACATGAACACTCAGATCCTGGCCCTTCCTGCCTGCTGCAGCTGCTCCCATCTTCTTGACAGCGTGAACAACGAAGGATTTCTTCACCAGCTTGCTTAAACCCCCCCAGCATCAGACCCCACAGACAAGTACAGACAGTTTGGCTTTGTCTGGACAGGAGCAGAGGGCGGAGGGACAGGGAGTGCTGCGGGGCTGGCAGAGCAGGCAGAAGGGCTCCAGCCCACAGCCTGTGTATGCACAGCAGCCATGAAACCTTCCCGCAGCTCCATTCTGACCACCAAACATGCCAGTACTCTCCCAGCCTTGGCAGCTCCTCCTGCTGCCAGAAGCACCTGGGATTGGTAAAGGATAGGTGCCACCACCTCTTCTCCTTGAAAAGTTGTTGCCAGAAATACACCAGTGTCTTCTATCAGCTGCTAGGCCATTTAACCCTCCTGTCCATTGACAAATACCCTCCCCAAACTATTACAGTAAAAGGAAAACCCTGTACGTTGAGACATACAGGCCGAGTCTTGGGTAGAGAACAGTTTCTGTGCTTGGTGGTTGTCGGTGGCTGGCAGCCCCCAGCCAGCCCTAGGGCACAGAAGGGAGCAAGATCCCCCACGGCTACCCCCAGCACATCAGGGCTTCATCCTGCTCAGTCTGATGTCGCGTTCGATTTCAAACTGCCTGTGATCCACGCGCTCCAGGAATGCTTTCCTCTCGATGTACCTGCAGGGAGGCAGAGGCAGAGGCTGTGAGCAGTGCCCGTGGCAGCCTGTGTGGCCCCCAGCCTGGGGAAAATCCCACCCAAAGGGATGAGCAGGGAGGGAAAGCACCATCTGTCTCCCTCCCTCTCTTTCCTGATCATTCCACTGAACATCTATGGACACCAAAACTGCTCTGTGGCCTGCTGCCTGTCATCTGGGGGACTCCCAGAGGCCTGGTGGTTGCACAGGCTAGAGAACTGAACTGGCTGATTCTGTTTCCAGATTTCCTACAGCTGAGAAACACTTGGTTCCAGATCTTCTCCTACAGCTAAGACACCTTCAAGGAGACCAGAGCAGGTCTTTGCACCACCCAGCAAAGCATCTCGAACCCAACCACAACCATCAATACAAGCTGACAGGCCCACAATACAAGCCAGGAACAGGCACAGAGAGCATCAGGGATGCAAAAAGCATCACCCAGGAAGCCTGCAACAGCTCAGGGATGCAGGCCAGGGATCTCCCAGCCACAGACCACCTTCTAACCACCACTGAGTATTTAGTGCTGCCCCTCAGCACGGCATGTGTGTGCTGTGAGGGAGAAGGCACGCCTGCGCCTGGAGAAGCACCTTGCTGCTCATTAATGGCATGCAGCTGAATTTTAATGTACTTTGCTGGAAACCCTTGCCACAGATAGCCTGGGGCTGTGCTACTAATTAACCTACAGAGGGAGCGAAATTGCAATTCAAAACAGGAGCTGTAATTGAATCATCACAATTGTTTTGCATTTGTTCCAGGGTGGCAAACACTGGACTGCCATGACAAGGTCATTAAACTTGTGTGGGGAACCACTGAATTTGGCTGTTCTGTCAGTCACTGCTTTTCCTGCTCACCAGAGCAGCCCACTGCTTGAAAGCAAGACCAAAGCCTAAGGGACGATGAGCAACTCAGGCTCTGCAGGATTTCCAACCTGCTGGGTGGCTGGCAGTGTGCATGAAAGCGCCCAAGACCCACATGGGAAGGTTCAAGGCCTCTCCTACCACTGGTCTCTCTGATACAGATGAACATTTGGTGATGAGGTCCCTGCAAGGTCAGGCTGGATGGGGCTCTAAGCAATCTGATCTAGATAAAGACTCCCTGCTCACTGCTGGGGGTTGGATTAGCTGGCCCTTAAAGGTCCCTTCCAGCCTGAACCATTCCATGATTCTGCAATTCTTTATGCTACAACTATCAAACCTGTACTGAATGTTCCCAGCAGGGAGCTTTTGCCCTTGCTGCAAGGGACAGCCCTGACACTCCTGCCCATCCAGTCATCATTGGAAATTAATTAATCCAGATTCATTTCAGCGAGTGATTCCCCCAAGTGGGTGAACAGCCCCTTGCGTCCCTGCTGTCACCTCATTCCCATTGTAGCTCCAGCCCATCTCGTGATGACACAACTGGGTCAGCTCATCTCTGCTGGCTGTGAGGGGCAGGGACCAGCACAGCACAATGCAGGCGAAGAGCTGGCTGGGAGGAGGTATTTGTGTGGCCCGTGCTCCTCACCACTGGGGGAGGGCTGTGCACTGAGGCCCCTTCCCCACGCTGGTTCAGGAAAGGCAGGCAGGGGAGTGTCGCTTCCCTTCATCCCTGTAAGCAGGGAGGTGGCCGGCTCCTGGGGCTGGGCTCAGAGAGGCCACAGGAAGGAAGCTGAGGGTCACGCTGTATGTTCTCAGTGTCATATTGGGCGTGTGGTTTTCTCCCCCTCCACTGCTAAACACCAACCACAACCCCAGCTGGGAAGACAAGGACAGGAATTATTGATGTTCATCTGGGAAAAACCCAATGGCCTGGGCAGCAACAGCCCAACCTCCTGAATCTGAAGCTCTTCTGGCCCCTCTGTGACACCCATCTATCAACTCCAGCAATGGGTCAGTCTCTTTCTCCTCCTTTTCCTCCCTGACTGTTGTGCCTCTCCGGTGGGCAGGGCCTGGCTCCTGTGGGATCCATATGGATCATGAACCAGGAATGCAGTCTCACAGCTGCAGCCAGCAGCGCTGCTCGGAGGAGGAACTGCGACGTCATCCCGTGGCATTGCCCTTGGCTGGTCACAGCAAAGAGCTGTAGGTGCAGACCCCCCAGGCACTACCTGGGCATACACTGGGGCTCGTGGGGCCTGGCTGGCTTGTGCTGCAGGCACACAGGGGCTGGGGCTGCAGATGGACATCAGCAGGGAAGCTGCAGGGTCAGCACAAGCCCTTCCATGCTCTGAAGCCTGTGCTGGAGCTGCAGCTCTCTCTGTGCTCAGCCAGCTCCATGCAGCCGACACCAAAGCACCACCAAACACGGTGCAAAGTGCATGAGTGAGGCACAAACACCCGTCCTGCGCTTGTCTAAACAACCTTTGCTACCTGAATCAATACCTTCCTGTAAATTATCAACCTGCCTGGAAACAGGGCAGCTGTGATCCACAGCAGAGCAAAGTAAATCCATTGGGAGCAAGGCTGTCTCTGCTAACAAGGGCAGCTGCAAGCTGCTCTGGGGAGGGTCTCCAGTGCTGCCTGTCCCCTGTCAGTCACCATCAGTCACCCGGTGCAGGACTGCACAGGGCCGGCTGCTCCCCCATGGGGCTGCCCTACAAAGGTGGCCCAATTAAGAGGCCACTACACATTTCTATTTATAAAGCACATCAGAGAGATGAACAGCAAAGGGGATAGCTGCCTCTGCTCCTTACTCCAGCCCCCTCCTGTCAAATCCAGGACAGGCCCTCAGGATCTGATGCAGCCAGGCTATAAAAGCCCAGATTCTACACCTAAGGAAATGCAAATCACTGGATGGGGGCTGGGGGTACAAGGGATGGAAAATCAGAGCCAAGGGAGGACAGAGCCATGGCCCCTCTGTCTCAGGAACTCCAGGCCCAGGCTGTGGCTGGCTTATAACTGGCACTGGCAGCAGAAAGATGCCACAGCCCCACTGCTCCACTGGTTGCCGTGTTCTGGCTGAGCGTGTGGCTGCTGGAGAAGGGTCAGGGAGGTATGAGGAGCTCTGGGCTGCAGCAACTTCTACAGAGTTAGCACAATGAAGAAATTCAGCCTGTCCTCCCTTCTGAGCAAAAAGCCTCATGCCTTCCTCGAGACATGCACAGACCATCTCTGTAAGTGCACAAAACGCGTGGCATTGAGCAAATATTTCCAGGAGTGGGCTGTAGTTTTCCTTGTCAGGCAGACGTTTACAATCACACAGCAGGACACGTGGGGAGCAGAGGTTTCTAACAGCACCAGAGATTAAAGGCAGCGCCCCGCTCTCGCCTGCCTGGGTTGAAGGGTTAACAACAGCTCATTACAATTTTTATAGAGATGTGTAAATGATTGCCCACTGAAGGGTGAGCGCAGTTGACATTATTAAAGGAGAAGAGGCAGCTGCAGAAGGGACAACAGGCTCCTGTGAAATGACCTGAGGCCGGCAGCAGCTGTGTCTGTGTGACCTGCCCCCCAGGCAGGATGGCTGCTCTGTGAGGGTACTGCACCCTTCACACCAAGGTGGCCTGTAAGTAGAAATGCAGTGGGCTGTGCCTTCATCGGTGCTCCTCCCTTCTCCCTTTACCTTGAAGGTGGAAGTAATTCCTAGTGAGCAGCTGCTTGGTTGATTCCCCTCATGCTACATGCCTGACTAGTATAAACATATTTGAAAGGAGTGTCTAAAGTTATCCTGGCATTATGTTTCTCATTCGTTTAATGACAAAACCCGCTTGCAGAGAGCTCAGCAGATTTTCTAGCCTAGGATGTGACAAAACTGGCAGCAAAACCCAAAGCTGTCCAAGATTAAAGATGCTCTTAAAACTGCTGTTCTGCTTTGCTCGTCTTTTCCATGCGCTGATCCCTTCTTTAGCCTTCAAGGACTGTGACGTGAGTGTCTTTGGAAAGGTTTGCCAGGCATGGAGAGCAAGCTGTCCTGCTTGGATGGGGTGGGAAAGGAAACAGCACTGGCCAAGAACAGTCGACATACTGGATTTGGGCACACAAGAGATGACACAAAACACTGCTCTGCCACACCTGTATGTTGTGTAAATCATTCACCTCCTTGAACTTCAGGGATCTCAGAGGAACAGCTGCCCCTCTTCAGCATTCCTACTGAATTGTTCTACTTTCTCAAGGGCATGTGACCAGAAACAGACCAGGGAAGATTTGATGGAGAATGTGTGTTGTGGAAGAGTGCAAGACCAAACTGAAAATATTTATTTGATAGTTTGACAGTTATAAAATATGTTTAAAACAGAAAAACCAATCTGCTGGAATGCAGAAGCTTTGAGTTTTTCCTGCAGAGTAAAAGAACAGCTTATAATAAAATATACATTTTATGAGCTGTCCACTAAACTGGTTATGTTTTCCCAGAGCTTAGCAAAGCACTTGTAGTGGAAATGCTGCTTCTGATCTCATTATCACTTCCCGCAGTGCATGTTATTAACCTTCTGTTTTATTTACAGCATCGACATTTACTTTTATGATACTTCCATTAACTTCATTGGAGTGAACATTGCTTGATGCACACAACCAACGCCCAGCACTGCCATAATCCTTAACGCACCTTGCCAGCTGTTATGGCTTTACACAAATCTTTACATGGGAGAAAGGAGGACTGATGCAGCTGAAACATGTCATTTGAAAAACAGAACAAAACCCTCCCAAACTGAAAAAAGAAAACAGGACAAAGGCAGCTGTGTTTCCTTGTGGGGGGGCTGCATTAGACCAGTTCATGCTCTGTGTCACAAGCAGAAGAGATGATTAAGCCAGACACTGGCTGGACTTACAGAACTCACAAGGTTGCTAGCAGAGAGTGATAGGTGTTTGCAGACTTACCTGTCTCCCTGTGATGCTTACAGCAGCTACTGGCTTTATGTAGCCCTAGAATAAATCCTTAAGAAATCCCATGGGTTTTTGAACTCTGTAGCCAGCAACAGGCTTCCCACATGTAAAGGAAGTGATGGGAAATTCTGGACTACTATTAGGTAAAGTTCCTCTTACCCATCTTTCCCTCGGTTATGGATTGCCAGCTCCTCCACAATCCCCTCCTCCTCCTTGAAGTTCTCCCAGTCCAGTTTAGATTTCTCCAGTGTGCTCATCTTCTGCTTTTTGGCACCGATCTTCCCCAGGAGGCTACTCATACCGCTTGGCCTCTTCACCCTGATGGAGATGAAAGAGCAAATGTTGGTTAAATGCAGGGAGATGGTAATTAAAAACAGAGCTGAGAAACGTCATGTGTGAGAGTGGTGGCCTTGATGGTGGTGAGCCAGTGCCACCAAACAGATGGCCACCAACTCCAGGCAGCCTGCAGGCGGCAAGGTCACGCTTCCTGCAGATCCTGTTCTGCTGTTCCCCTGGAAGCAGCAGAGTTCATTACACACATATCTCAAGTGCTTGGTTTTTGTGAAAGGGCTTTTTCATTTATCTTCTTAAGAGAACAGAGAGCTTTCAGGCCAAAAGAGATCATTAAATCATCTAGTTTGACCCCTTGTATATACCAGGCCAAGCCATTCCACTGATCACCTCTGTGCTAAGTCTGGTTCTTTGTCTTCAGTTAAAGTGTTGTTTTCTGGAAGGCATCCAGCCTCAGTGCGTCACCAGTGCTGACAACACATCTAGGAATTAACTATTTCATTGGTATTAATGCTTGATTTTCTCTAGTTTTAGGTTCAGGTTGCTGCTCCTTATTCTAAATCCAAGAACACTTTGGTCTTCAGGCAAGTCTCATTAGTGACGTATTTGTACACCACTAATGAACTGAATTATGTTTATGCAAACAGATAGGGTTCCTTATGCCTCTCATTGAAATGCATTTTGCCCCAGCCCATACGTCACTTCTAAGGTTTTGTCCCCTTGCTTACGTTTCAATGCTCTTTGAAGATGGGAGCACAGAACTGCTTGTAACCCACCCCCTCTCCTCCTGATTTGTTTCTGTCCAATCATCACCTAAATCCTGTTAGCTGCCCATTGAGTCCCAGTGCACGTGCAGTGATCCCATACCATCTCCCACGTCCCTGTTTGGTAGGAAGATCTCTTTGGTCTTTCATCCCTCGCTCTTAGAGGAGTGAAATCCTACCCGTGCAGTGGGGCCCCCAAATCTCCCCTTTATGCTGGGAAATGCACACACGGGGGCTCAGGTCAGCCGAGCTGCCCTCTAAGGAAGAAAATTCTCAGGGATAGGAACACGTAAAACAAACTTGTATTAACCCTTCTTAAACCCCCCCAGGAATGGGGGGCAAACAGCATCCCATTGAACTCATGTTTACACACATTCCAGAGATAACTTCAGGTCTGCAGGGCCTTTGCCTCTGCAAGAAGCCAGAGAGGAAATTACTCTCGTTCCTGAGAGATGAAGGAATTTGGGAAGGGGGGCCCCAAGGAAGGCAGCCAGGTGAGCATGGCAAATTGCTCTCCATCAGTGTTCTCTGAGCACATTCCTGCCCAGGGGTAGCTGTTCTTGGGAACGTATCCAAAGTTGTCCTTATCGGATCATTAGCATGGTTTATTCTTCCGTAATTTGCAAGCCTCTAAAGGCAAATAATTCTGCAGTTTATATGGAATTAAATCAAAGAAAATGACAACTCTGTAAGCCTCAGCCAGAAGACTCTCAATGAAAGAATGGCTGGCTAGAGTCACTTGGGGTTTCAGCTTCCTGACATAGATATATTGGGGATTAAGGACATTTTGGCAGGCTCCATAGCAACTGGACAAGGCTGCCTGTCCCTACTCTGTACCAGCCAGAGGAGCAGAAATGTCCTAGTACCTAGCCTTCTTATTTCCTTCAGTCCCATGGCTGGAGCACTGGCCAACAGCCAGTAGTTGTTCACTCTGTGTGGACACAGAACAAGCTGGATGCTCTTTGATTTGCCTTTATCCCTGAACATCTCATCAAGATGTCTACAGTCCTTCACACCATGATCACACAATAAAACTTTGATTCTTCCACAGCCTCCAATTCTGCCTTACTTTTCAAGGCATTATGGCACCAGGTATCCTTATCTGCAGGTGGCAGGGAAATGGTGTAAGGGGGAAAAATGGTCAAAGATATTCTCAGCACAATATAAAACTGGAGACACTTGGTTCCCACATCTGGCTACCCAGGACTACACAAGCCTTGCTCAAACACAATATTAGCTATGTATTCAAGATGTGAGGGAGTCAGAGGAAAGGAGATATGACAAAGAATAAGGATGAACCAAATAAAATATTGAGCAAGCATCATCCCCTATGGCATTCCCTGTTGCACAGCTGCCTGGAAAGCAGAGCCTGGTGGTCGTGCACAGCACTTCCTCACACTGCACTGGGAGGCCTTAAAGGTGTCCTGAAATAAATCTAGGGAAGTGCTATGGCTGATCCAGCTGGCAAAGCTCCTCTGTCCCAAGCCTGGCAGGCAGAAGGTGTTTACATTAACACAAGGTATTCAATAACACATTTCTCTGAATACACTTTATTTTCCTGAAACACTTGGGCTTAAGATTTTCCTACCTTTGAAGTGGGAAAAGCAGGGATGTAGAAATGGCAGGTGCTGTCCCTTGTCCCTAGAGTTCTCCTAAATGTTTTTTATTTTGGACAAAAACCCCCCAAAACCTACCTCACCTATCCAAGGACACCCAAGCTCATCTACATCCACTGACCTTTCCATGGGTGAAAGTGCAGTCACTGTCAGTTGAAATACAGACAGATCTGACTGCAAGGACACAGCACACACCTGGAAAAATTCAACTGAAAGTTCTGGGATCTTTCCTGTGTGTTAGAGAGATCTCTGCCCTGCAGAGTGACAAGCAGGCTCAGATGCAGGTTCACACATGCCAAGACTGATCCTTTTTGGCTGAACCTTGGGCTGTTGGCTGCAGGTGGGGAAGAGCTGAGTTGGAACAGGGGCCAATCGGCCAAGCTGAGCTGCTGAACACGTCTCTGAGTGAAACACAAACTGGGACCCTCTGACAGGCCACTACTGTCCCCAGACCACAGTGGAGGATAGATGGGAGGGAAGGGAATCAAAGGCAAGATGGTTCATGGCCAGAGGTGGAAAAAGAAGTGGTGCTGGTTTCAGGGAGCAGAAGCTGCAAATTAGATGAGGGCTGCTTATGATGTCTTTTCTTCCATGGCAATTCCTGGCATAAATTAACATCTGGATGCTCATATCCATCTGTAATGGTGCTCAAGATGTCTGTATGTCCTTTTGCCTATGAATCTCAGGAATACTGATTAAAACATTTAATTCACTCCTTGTTTGAAGCTATGGAGTCTGGGCTATGATATGGACCTCCATCAAGGGCATCTAGATAATCACAAGAACACCCACAAGTCAACAGTTCCTTCAAGGCAAAGGAACCTGACAAAAAAGGGCAGGCTATGTTGCATCTTTGTGTTGATGAGTACTCCAGAAATATTATTAATATCCAATGTCAGCCCTATGCTGGAAACTGGCTCTGGGCTGGACAACCTGGTTTTGCTCCTGTCCAGACAATTCTGTCCTGCTGCAGCAGGACCAGGCCTGGGCCAGGCAGTGGGGCCAGACACAGGCTGAAGGACATGTTTGAGTCTGCTGCTGAGTCTTCATTCCACGCTGAGCCTTTTATCACCCTGAATAAATCCAGCAAACCTGGGGGTGGGAATTCTTACGCTTGTGCCAAAATGAAGTAAATGAGAAACATTAAAGTCCAATTAAAAACTTGCTTGGCCTTAAATGCCTCATCTGTTTAAAAAGCAAGTAACGGGGCCTGATTAATTGCATTCAGTGCCAACAAGAGGAATTATTACCCTTTTTGTACTCATTAAGGGTATCTGCTGTGGCATCTTTAATCACTAGGGCATTTAAAAGAGAGAAAGTAATTTGCTAAGACATAATGGATCCCAGGGATGAAGATCAGGACAATCGCCTATTTAGGACACAAAGACATGCTCTGAATTTTCACAATTACAAAGCACAGCCAATATCTGTCCCTGAACCAGAAAAAAAAAAAAAGAAAAAAAAAAAAAAAAAAAAAAAAAAAAAAAAAAAAAGAAAGAATAAAGCTGGGGAGCTCTGCCTTTCTGCCTTGGTGGGGGGATTCCCCTGCACCATCTAATATCATCAGGACAAGGACTGTGCCTGTGCATCATCTGGCATGGTCACACACAGGGACAAGCAGCAAGCCATGGGCTCCCTGATGTCCCACCATAGGTGAACATGCTCTGTATCCTTGTCCTTAACAATGATGCTTCCCCCCCATCTTGGTGCAAGCCTGCAGCCTGACCAGGAGCTTGGAAAACTGCTGCTACAGCAATGATAAAGTGTCACTGCCACATGTAATCCCTGATGTCTTGTAACAGGAAGGTCAGCAGCACCTGGGAAATGCATGCCGGTTTACAAGAGGCAGAATTCATCACAAGCTTTAGAAAATACTCTTCCAGCAACTGGGAACACGGCTACAAAGGTTTCATAGTGCATCCCACCAGCCAAAGCAGGATGAGTTCCTCTCCCACCCAGAGACAGGTGCTCTGAAGGTCTCCTGACACCAATCCCACATGCACTGAGGTTTCAGTACTTCATAAGCCCTTCACTTATGTAAGTCTTCCCCCATAATTAAATTGCCTTGCTCAGCCTGTGACTTGGTATCTTCTTCCTAGAAGCTACTAAAAACAGATCACTCCCTCACTTTTTGCAGCAGCCTTTTATGTCTTTGAAAGCTTTTCATATTGCTCCCCTCTCCAGCTTGCTCGTTCCTAGACTAAACAATCCCAGGTCCTTTCAAGCTTTTCTCATTCCTTATGGTTTCCAGCCCTCTGACCACTCTCACTGCTCTCCTTGGACTCTTGGCTATTGGCCCGTGTATTCCTCAAAACGCAGCATCCAAAAGGGGAATTGCAGGAGTGATGGATTTGCCAGCACTGGGAGCAGGGGGAATGCTTCAGATGCCTTGGGAAGCACACAGCTCCTTACACGGCCCCCTATGACGTGTGCCTCTTTCACAACCGTGTGACAGCAGTGACTCAGGCTGAACCTGTGATTCACCAAGATATCTGTCTGCTCCACTGCTGCCAAGACACTTTCTTCCTCCATCCATGCAGAACATTCCTGCTATCCAGAGGCAGAGCCCTGTGCTGCTCTTCCTGTTTGCCCTCACTTTTCCCTTGACACAGTGGATCTCAGATGTCTTTGCAAATCAGCCTCTCCT